GAGAATAATTCAGAGTGACGTCCGCTCGTGGCCCGAGAATGGAGAAGGGCTGGACGCGCCAGGCACCTGCCGGACGGGAGAGCGAGGGGTCGCGGGCCACTTTCGGCGATCCGTAGAAATAGGCAGGGTTCGGCCAGCCGTGGTTGCAGACGGGGCGGTGGGAGAGGGAGACGATGGAGAGGGATAAAGAGGAAGAAGGAGCCACAAATCGTGTTGGGAAGTTTGGCAGAGCATTGAAAAGAGTCGATCCACTGAGGTTCTGCCCCCCCTAATGTCCCCTTTCTTTTGGGGGGGGTATTTTTTAACCCGTGATCTCCCCCAAAAAGCTGAAAAACTTTTTGAGGCCCCCTAACAAAAATCCTCATGGGACGCGGGTGGTGCTGTGGGTTAAACCACAGAGCCTAGGACTTGCCGATCAGAAGGTCGGAGGTTCGAATCCCTGCAACGGGGTGAGCTCCCATTGCTCTGTCCCTGCTCCTGCCAACCTAGCAGTTCGAAAGCACGTCAAAGTGCAAGTAGATAAGTAAGTACCACTCCGGCGGGAAGGTAAACGGCGTTTCCATGCGCTGTTCTGGTTCGCCAGAAGAAGCTTAGTCATGCTGGCCACATGACCCGGAAGCTGTATGCCGGCTTCCTCGGCCAATAAAGTGAGATGAGTGCCACAAACCCAGAGTCGGTCATGACTGGACCTAATGGTCAGGGGTCCCCTTTACCTTTACCTTAACAAAAATCCTGGGTACGCTGATGCAGCAATGCCTCTGTCCCTATGGAAAGCGGGTGATGCATTTTGTACACACAAACATTCTTGGGGTGGAAATGTGCTCAGACACAGATATCTTCATGGAGGAGAGGGGTTGTGATGGCTACTAGCCACAATGGCTATGTTCTGCCTCCGCTGTGTCAGAGGCAGTGCTCCTTTGAAAGCCAGTTGCTGGGGGGAAAACACAGGAGATGAGGATCCTCTTGTGTTTGTATCCTGCTCGGCGGTTTCACACTGGCACCTGGTCGGCAGGACGCTGGGCCTGCATTGCAAGGGGTTGGACTAGATGGCCTCTGGGAGTCCCTCCCAACCTTGATGTTCTATGATTCCATAACTAGTTGGGCCACTGGCCTGATTCAGCAGATTCCTCTTATGTTCTCATGTTCTTGAAGAAGGATATTGGAGTGCAAGGAACAGTTCAGAAGAATGATCAAGGGGGTGGAAGGACAACTCTATGAGGAAATGTGGGACTTTTGGGCTTAGAGGAAAGGCGAGTCAGAGCTCACATGATAAAAAAATATAAAACACTGCATGGGATGGAGGAAGTAGATCAAAGTATTTTTTTCGCTCTCCCTCTCTCATAACTCAGGGGCATTCAATGTTGGACAATTCAGGTCAAGCAGAAAGGAAGGACTTCTTCAGACAACGCATAGTTAAACCCTGGAACTCTCTCCCACAAGAGGCAGCAATGGCCACCAACTTGGAGCAGACTGGACAAATTCACGGAGGGTGTGGCTATCAATGGCTACTAGCCACAAAGGCTATGTTCTTTCTCTGCTGTAAGAGGAACTATATATGGGAATCACAGCAGCTGAAGAAACATGGGTTACTCAATCCAGTATCTCGGGGATGGGGAATCTGTGTGTCAGGTGTGTGTGCAGGAGCCAAGCCCTGTGACCAATAGGACTTTGCAGGACTGGAGCCTTCCTAAGTTTGTTCTGAAGAGGTAAGGCGTGGCTGCACAGGTAAGGCCGATTGGTAACAGCACCTGGTGGCAAGAGCCGGGAAGGGATATAAGGTCAGCATTTCCCCTCGGCTCTTTGTCACAGCAACATGTTCCCTGCCTTGCTGCGTTTGGCTCCTTGACTCCTTGCTTCTTGATCCTCAGACCCTTGACTTCATGACTCCTTGCTTGCTTCCTGACCCTCAGACCCTTGGCTTCTTGACTCCCAGCTCTCTGACCCTAGGACTATTGGCTTCCTGACTCAGGGCTTCTGGACCCCCGTTCCTGCTCCCACCCCGAGCTTGCCCCCGGTCCTAACGTCCCCTGCCAGGACTTTGATCACCCATGAACCAGACCATGACACTGTGGCCCTCCAGATGTTCTTGGACTCCAGTGCCCAGCAGCCTCAGCCAGCATGGCAAACGGTCAGGGATGATGGGAGTTGTAGTCCAGCAACATCTGGTATGAATGTAAGAGCCAACTTGGTTCCTTTGCCCACTGTGGTCTCCGACCAATCTACTTTGTGCCTCTGGCCATATGTGATTTGGCCTCTGGCCTGCTGCACACGGCTGCCACGTACCTCCTTGCCCATAAGGAAATGTCGCCCTGTCTCCCCGCCTCAATAGCATCATGTAAGTGGCTGCAAATCACAGGGTGGAGGGTGCTCTTGCACCCAGGTCCTGCTTGTCTGCCACAGGCATCTGGTTGGCCACTGTGAGAGCAGGATGGTGGACCAGGTGGGCCATTGGCTTGATCCAGCAGGATTCCATCTGATGTTGTTATGTTGACTTGGAGAATGCAGTTGGGATATGACCTGAGAAGAGCCCATATAACCAGCAAAGGGTGGTGGAGACAAGAGGAAGAAGACGAAAACGGCCCAGAAACTGGGCATGTTCCCCTTCCGCAAGTCAATTTAGAAGCCATCCTAGTTGAATTGGAATTCAGGAAACGCAGAATCCAGGCAGATCAGATTCTCAGACCTTTATCGGAATGTGTACAAGACTCCAGTAGGGTTTGGTACCAAAAAATAAAAATAAAATCACTCATCTAAAATCTGCATCTAACACTTAAGTTATTATTGTATGACATTCATGGTGTGTTGCAGAAACCCGGCTACTGTCTCCATCTTGAGTGGGATGCTGGCAGGAGCCAAGTGGTGGCACAATAGAGAAATACAACAGGGAGAACGAACTTATCTCCAGTTAGGAGCTCCCAAGTCAATTGGAAACCAAATCCTATCCATCTTGCAAAAAGGTTGTGGACAAGCCGCCTTGCTCCGTGGAGAATCCCGTTATCCTGTTATAAGCAGCGGAGAGAAAAAGCAACGAGAGGCAGCCCAGAGACAGTGTTAAGAAACGGCGGCGGCGGCAGCTAGGCAGGCAGACTCTAGTTATCAGCGCTTACTGCAGCAGTGGCTGATCTCCCCCACATTATGTTGGGGGCCGCACAAAATCTGCCAGGGGCCACATGCAGTTGGTGGGTCAGTCCAGACGTGGCGATGGGCAGAGTTAGAGGCTAAAGTTTGTTTATTTAAACATCTTATATACTGCTTAATACTGTAGGGTTGTTGCTTTTCCCCACTAGATTTACTAGATGTGTTTTTATATCATTTTAACTGTACTATAGTTAAGTAAATAGCATAACATTAATTAAACTATTATCTTTTCGTACGTTTTTAGATTTCTGTGCTTTTATGTGTTTGCTTTCATTTTCATGAGCCACCTTGAATCTAAAAAAAAAGGCAGAATATTAATATTAATAACATTAATGGTAATAATACTAATAGGCTAATAGTTTCTAAGCAGTTTGCCATAGGGGTACAAAATAGGATCACTTAAAAGGAACCATCAAAATTGGGGGGGGGGTTTAAAATTGCCCAAAAGTCTTCACTGAGTGCGAAGTTCAAGAACGGTGGGTCGTGTCTGTCTGATCTCAGCGGAAAGTTCTGTAAAATCCGGCCACCATATTGAACACACAGACCCTGGTGGATGTAATCCCTGCATCTCAGCCACAGAGATCACTTTAGGAAGCCAGGAATAACTCAAAAGAAACAACACGGAAGGAACCCTGTTTTAGCTGTTTACTATTACATTCTAATGGATTATTGAATATTGCTTTATTTGATATAGGTTGCTTATTTAAAAGTTATTGTGACTTATTTGTATAGGATCAGATTGCTATTACGTGTGTGTGATCTTTGTCGGCTTATTTTGTTGTTTCTTCCTCTTGCAAACTGCCTTGTGTGTAGTAATACAGAAAGGCGGAATGCAAATTAAAAGTGAACTGAAATGAAACTCTGGCGGTGTGAGAAAGCATTGGCCCTCCAGGTGCGCCTGAGCTACAAGTCCCACCATCACTGCCTATTGGGCAAGCTTGCTGGGGCTGTTGGGGGTTGTGGTATAGAAGAATGGGACAACATCAGTTGGGGAAAGACTCATAGCATGCTGTTCTGCCAATACTGACATTTCCACACACACCATTTCCCCAGGGCCCATTTGATGACTTAGGAATGCAGGAAGTTGCATTATACCAAGGCAGGCCATTGGCCCATCTACCTCAGGACTGTTCACACTGATTGGCTGTGACCCCAGGCTGCGGACTTTCCTGGTCAAGGATGGAGACAGAAGCTGTGTCAGGAACCGGGGACAAGGGGCCTGGAGTTTGACTCCGGGTGGTGGTAGTTTGTGGGTCCCTGTACCAGCCAGGAGGCAAGGATCAGAGACAGGGGATGCTTCAGAGATGGAGCGTAGAACACAGGATAGGTCAGAAGAAGATAAAAAGAGGCAGGCCAGGCAAGTGAAGGGCCAGGTGCTTCCCCACCCTCTCCTGCCCCTCTGTCTCCCAGAACAAGGAGGGGGCTGAAATGGGATGAGCAGAGGAAGTTGCCTTGCAGGTGCCGTCTCTGGCTGCATGTGTGCAGTCCGTCGGGAGAAGGTATATAAACTGATGGAGGGGGAATAGTCCCCGGTTGATGAAACTGCTCCACAGAGCAATGGCCTGGGAACAGCTGCCAAGATGCAAGATTAGTGCGCTGTAGAAGTGACTGTGTTTATCTTTGACAATAGTGAGTTAGTGATTTGTTACGCGCATTCTTTTGGCTGGGGTGCTTCGTTGACAGGCCGGGACCTTCCGCATACAGAGCAGCTGCTCTCCCATTTCACTTCAGGGCTCCTTGGAAAAATGAAGCGAGGTTCTAGTCCTCATTGTTCTGAATAATGGGCTGCATAGGAAGTTGGGGCTGGTGGGAGTTGTGTGGAGGGCTTGCCTACAGGCAGCCCAACTCTGGCCTTTCTGCCAGCATAGCACAGTTGATAGAGCATGAGACTCGTAAGGTCAGGGTTGTGGGTTCGAGCCCCACATTAGACGAAATATTCCCGCACTGCAGGTGTTGAACTAGATGACCTATGTGGTCCCTTCCAACTTCACAATTTTATGATTCTGTGATTCTAGACATCGCTTGATTTTGCCAGGGCCCACCTGGTGACTCTGGAACATAGGAGGCCACCTTAAACCACCTTCTAGTACTGCCCATTCTGAGCAGCAGCGGCTCTCAGGGATTTCAGATGGGAGACGTTTCCAGTCTGGTCTGGAGATGCTGGGAATTGAACCCAGAACAGGGAAGGCAATTGCTCAGCCGCTGAGCTACAGCCCTTCCGTTCCGTGCCAGGGTTTCCGGGATACTAAGGCTGATGGCTTTGCAGCTTTGCGGCTGCCTTGAAGCCTGCTGCCTAGCCATTAACAGGGACCCGCTGGGGAAGTGTGAAAACTGGAGAGCTCAGACTGACAGCCTTTGTCGCAAGGGAGCTGTCCTGGAGAAACCGCAGGGTGATAAGGCACCTCTTGCATTGGCTCAGAGCGGCTGCCGTCTTTTCATCAGGAGGGGTGAACAATTGTCCCTCTTGTTCTGCCTTGACATCCTATTACGTTCGGGAAAGTGCCAACATATCCTGACTCCTCGTCCCCTGCTCTGACTGTTTGTATTATTAATTTAACAGCAACATGTCCATCGTAATGATGGGGGAAGGGGATGGGTGTGGAGGGTGGACAAGAAGGATGAACCAACCTGCCAACTTCAATTCCTCTGAATTCAGTGCTCCACCGTTCAGCAGCAATTTGCAATGTTAATCTGTTGGCATTTCAGCAATTAGTAAACATAACCTGAGTGCGAAATTTAGTGACTTTAGTAATCAGTGCTCTTTACTGCAGATTTCTCCTGATCAACATTTTCCTATGCGTTTTTTTTTTTTACTAATGTGCACATGTGTGCAAGCAAGGATGCATTTTTGCGTGCTGTTTTCATGAATGCATGCATTTTCCCACACGCTTTCCCCCAATTCTCTCTCTCTCTCTCTCTCTCTCTCTCACACACACACACACACACACACATGTGCGCACGCACACACACACACACTCAACCATTTGGCTGGAGAACTGTATTGCAAAATCCAGAGAATTTCTAAGGAGAGCTACCTTTCAGTTCATGAATTGGATCGAGAAGCGTGGATTAGGTAGGTTCTCATTTAGAGGCAAAGAAACCCCAAATTCTCCTCCGCATCTACCTGTATGTGACCTGGACCGTGGGATGGGTTTGAAAAAACTTGATAGCTTTGATAGATTCTACAAGCAAAATCAGGAAGGAGAGCCCACCTTAAGCAGAGATGCTGGAAAGTTTCATCTGGCCTGCTTAGGGATGGTGAGGAATTACATCTGGTCTGTTTAGGATGGCTATTTGCATTAAAAAAAGTGGAAATGCATCACCAGAAAGGAAAAAAAGAGGGTGATCATGTGCATAAAAGTTATATGTGCTAATTTAAACGTATTTGGTGGGTTGACTTAAGGAGTCCCATCAGCCGAAGCCCTGGGCAAGGACTTCCATTTCAGTGGCAAGGATTTTGGGGGAACGTATTTGTTAAAACCCATATCTGCCACACAGTGCACAGGGCTTAAAAGGTGGTCTACCACACAGGTACCCATGGGGGCTGTAAGCTGGTTCACCTGCTGCATCCACATGGGGTGCTCTTGAATATTGTCATGTTCTGGTCTGGTGCCAGATCCCACCGAGAAAGCAGCAGGGCATTGCCGGTTGAAGGTTTCAGGACCACGGAGAGCTCTGTGTGAGCCACTCACTCCCAAGAAGGTTGGGACAGGCCTGAGGCTTTTTATGCCTCTGTTTCCAGGCTGCCTTCTCCATAATCCACCCCACTTGAGAAAGTGCCATGGCCTCAATGCGACATCCCTCTGGCCTGAAGATGACCTCTCTTTCTCCTCCATTCCATAGTCTTTCTCCTAGTCTTTTTCTCCTGGTGATGTGTGGTGGGAGGCACCTGGTTCCTCAGGCTCAGGGAAAGATGCCGCTGAAGGTCAGGGTTCCAGCCCTGGTGGTCTACAAGGTTCCTCTGGGGATTCATGTCTCTCACGTTCTCAAGTGCAATGGTCTCCATGTCTTCAGCACTCATCTCTGGTCCCTGAACCATCTCTCCATCTGGTGTCTCTGCAGCCTCCAGGTCCATGACGGGCTCGCTGCTCATTCCAGGGGTCACGGCGACAGGCGCAAATGAGCAAAACCAACTACTTCCCCGCTCCCTTCAAACCATCCTTCTGAATTCTCAAAACTGCACAGGCTGGAGTTGCTTCAACCAACAAGGCAAGCTATACAAACTTCCACACCCCTTCGCTTTCCCCAGCACCAAAAATTCTCCCCTCTGAGAAGAAAACAGCAGTTCCAAATTAAACCTTTAAAAATGTGTGTATGCTTTAAAAGTAGAACCAACCAAATTTCCAGCGCTAAGTGCAATTAAAGCAGTTGTGGGAGGCGGGTAATTTTCTATGTTTGGGGGGAGGAAAAGTGTGTGTGTTGGGGGGGGCAGAGACCCAAATAACCAGGAGGACAAAACTGAGGGTTAGGAAACAGCAAATGGATGTTGTGGCGCAGACACACACACAACACACACACACACACACACACACACACACATCCCCATAAATAAATAAACACCCGGGCCCTCGACAATCTTGGCTTTGTAAAGGGGAAATTGCTCCAGCGCAGAGTATGTTTACATGGGCAGAAATTGGAGGGGAAATTACGCTGTCACACTGACATCTGTAGGAGGAGGACAATTTTAAAATTACACTGTTCAACACCTTTAATGATTTCTAACACAAGAGGTGTGGCTTCTCCTATTAAATGTGTTGCCAAATCAATAAAAGGCATAATTGGAGTTGTTAGAGCAAATTATAGCGCCACAGTTATGTTGCAATACAATGTTCCCTTGTAAACTGCCATTACGGGCAGCGCCGTATTTTCTCCCCTTATTGGGCTGTTTTGTAATGAGTTGGCATTTTGCTCCATAATAGTTGCCCACTTTCTTTTATGGAGCGCTCACTTTTTACTTGCTTGCCTTTTGTGCAGCCTGTAATTTCCTCTCTCCCCCCACACCCCACCTCCCTTCCCCTCGCCTGCCTTTGCCGCTCAGTTTTCAAAAGTCGGCGAGACTAGTCGCCGACGGCCCTGCAGTGATCAACTATATTATTTAGCATCACTTGAAGTCTCCTGCCACCCTTCCTCTCTCTCCTCCCCCCCCCAAGCTGCTTTACATCAATGCAAGAGGAAGAAGGGCGAGACAGAGAAAGATTCCGGCAGAGATGTACCTTGGGTTGCCAGGACAGGGGCTACATCGGGACAACTCAGATGAGAAAGTTACCAACAGTGTTGATCAGCTATATGAGCATCAGTGTGTGTGGGGGGGGTAAAAACAAGGGGGAGTAAGCCTGCCTTAAGGCAGGGATGGGGTTTGGGGAGACATTTGGTTTTGATTGCTGTTGCATGTGAGCCCATCTAACCGGTGCTTTCCGGAAACAGTAAAGGCAGCTATCTTCCAAAATCTGCCCTTCTCTCAATGCTGCGATGCAATCGTCCAGTGGAATTGAGGGCACCAAAGCACTGTTTATTCGGCGAGTGTGTAATTCTGAGTTTGGGAAGGAGGGCCAGTCTAGATGAAACTCTGGGTCTCCTTCCAAACCTGCAATCCTTTTTTTAAAAAAAGAAATGTTTTATTTTTGCTAAGCAACTTCTAGGAACAGCTATTTAGCTCAGAGCTCACTCAGCACAAAACATTGACTCTATAATATTAAAACTTGGATCATAATGATTTAAAAACTAGGTCTAACCAATTGCATAGTTTGCCTTGAACCCCTCACTTGTTGAAGGAAGGTAACTATCAAATACTCTTAACTTTTCAGAGGTGGCAACACACACAAATACCTAACAAGTAATGCCAAACCTGCAATCCTATGAGCACACAGAATGCATAAGGGGAAGCTTCCCAAATTAGTCGCTTTATCGAGGCAATGGCTTTGGCCAGCTTGTTAAGTGCCACAACTCAGCATATCCAAAGAAGTTGCCCTGTGCCATGCAAATGAATGAGTGGGCTTTCCCTGACCCCACTCACCTGGCTGGTAGGGAGAAGATGATAGCGGGAAACTGGAGAGAGGCGTGTCTTGCTCTGTGCTGGACTTTGGGGCTCCCCTGGAAACCTAAAGGGGAAACAAAATCTATAGGAGCATTAAGGCTGCGAACGCCTCCATCATATGCTCAGGTTGTTTTTTGTCTGTGTGTGTGGGTGAGGGGAACCCAAATATCCCCAAGATACCACTGTCTCCGATGACCTTCATTCCAAGGAAACCGAACCCTGGGTAAGCACAGGCAACCCTGGAGATTGGGGTGGCATGCAACAATACAGTACAGTACAGGGTATGTAGGGATGCAGGTGGTGCTGTGGGTTAAACCACAGAGCCTAGGACTTGCCGATCAGAAGGTCGGCGGTTCAAATCCCCGCGACGGGGTGAGCTCCCGTTGCTCGGTCCCTGCTCCTGCCAACCTAGTAGTTCGAAAGCACGTCAAAGTGCAAGTAGATAAATAGGTACCACTCCGGCGGGAAGGTAAACGGTGTTTCCATGAGCTGCTCTGGTTCACCAGATGTGGCTTAGTCATGCTGGCCACATGACCCTGAAGCTGTATGCCGGCTCCCTCGGCCAATAAAGCGAGATGGGCGCTGCAACCCAAGAGTCGGTCACGACTGGACCTAATGGTCAGGGGTCCTTACAGGGTATGTATGTATGTATTTATAAATAAATAAATAAATAAATAAATAAATAAGATGCTTCCCAAAAGAATTCCCTGTTCATTGCTGCTCCCACTGACAGGACCATAAGCAGGTCAACCCATAACAACAAAGTCTGTAAGCTGATTCTTGCTGTGTCTGGGTCCTGGGCTTGTGGCAGCCATGAATCAGGCAATGGTCTGAGTCTGGAGGGCAGCAGGACAGGTTAAGGGCCGGATCCAGACCTGCCTCACAGATGACACATGCTTAAGAAATGTTGCACCGGTGCTTAAAAAGCAGGGCAGGAGGCTGCGAAAAGCAAACTCACCCCTTATTGCTGGTTTCGTGTCGGTCAAAGACCGGCTTTTGTTCTGGGACAAGGCAGATGGTTTGAGGGTGGGGAGGTAGCATTGAGTCCTCACAGACAGCCTCCATTCTCTGGCTGCTTCATTGCTATGGTGTGAAAAATGTCACCAGCGTTGGGATTTTCCTTTACAACTGCTAATGAGGCAGGCAGAGAAATGTATGCACTCGCTGCCTCGACGGATGTGTCTGCACGGGTCCCCTGCCTTCTCGCTTTGGGCTGGTGATCTGGGCTATGTGGCATTTTTTTGTTTGTCTCCCTATCTCTCAGTGAACCACCCACCAAGATGAAGTCTTTGCTGGTGCCGCCCGCCGAATGTTCATGACAGGCACACTTACCAAAACCTACATTGACAATGAAGTGTGGGGAGAGCTGTAGCTTAGTGTGGAGGGCATCTGTTTTGCATACAGAAGGTCCCAGGTTTAATCCCCACCATCTCCAGATGTGTGTTCCCTGTCTGGAACCCAGGAGGACAACTGCTTGTCATTGTTTACAGGACCATAGGACATAGAGTTGGAAGGGGCTAGGAGGGACATGGTTTTCCCAGTAGTGATGTATGGAAGTGAGAGCTGGACCATAAAGAAGGCTACTCGCCAAAGAATTGAATTATGGTGCTGGAGGAGACTCTTGAGAATCCCATGGACTGCAAGAAGATCAAACCTCTCCATTCTTAAGGAAATCAGCCCTGAGTGCTCACAGGAAGGACAGATCATGAAGCTGAGGCTCCAATACTTTGCCCACCTCATGAGAAGAGAAGACTCCCTGGAAAAGACCCTGATGTTGGGAAAGATGGAGGGAACAAGGAGAAGGGGACGACAGAGGACGAGATGGTTGGATAGTGTTCTCGAAGCTACCAGCAAGAGTTTGACCAAACTGCAGGAGGCAGTGGAAGACAGGAGTGCCTGGCGTGCTCTGATCCATGGGGTCACGAAGAGTCGGACACAACTAAACGACTAAACAACAACAGAAGGAGGGCCATCGATACCAAGTCCCTGCAATGCAGGAATCTCAACTCAATCATACACAACAAGAGGCCATCCAACTGTCAGGAGCTCATCCTACACTCGAGTAGGACCCTGGCAGACACATGCCCGACTGGCATGTTCTCTCCCTCCTGGTCGATCGTTCGGGAGCTTCATAAGGTTTCTTCAGCCCGAACATCACAGCAACCGATGCGAACAGACACCGGCACACTTAGGGATCCGCAGAGTCTGCGCAGTTCACGTGAAAGACCTCAGCAACTCAGCATTTGGGCTAATCTACTTTATTTACATATAAACACACATGGAGCACTGCAACATGGCTCCCTCTCTCTCTAGCATCAGACAGCAAAGAGGAAAAAAATAAAGGACAATAGTCCCACTTCACGGGACACAGTAGCACAAACATCCTGTCTCCGTCACTTCCCACTCTGTGGAGTCAAAACATATACCGTCATGTGATAGACAACAATCCCATGACTGCAATCACAGAGCAGGAATTCTAACACCAACCTCTGCTTAAAAACCTCCAAGGAAGGAATGGTCCACCACCTCTTATGGGAGTCTGCTCCACTGTCAGACATCTCTTACTGTCAGAAAGTTCTTCCTGGTGTTTAGTCGAAATCTCCTTTCTCGTAATTTGGTTCGGGTCCTACCCTCCGGAGCAGGAGAAAACAAGCTTGCTCCATCCTCCATGTGAGACGTCTTTAGATATGTGAAGATGGCTAACAAAGCTGAGCTAGATGGCCTGACTCAAAACAAGGCAGATTCCTACATTTCTTTGTGAAAAGATGCCCTGGAATGGCCTGAGTACATGGGGAAGACAGAACAATGTCACCCCCCAAAGCATCAAAATATTCTATGTAATCAGTTGTATAATAGAAAGGCAATGCGCTAAACAAGAAAGCATATAAGGAAGCAGCAAGGTCTTATACACCTTCCTAAAAGGAAGATGTACAAGATACCTTCCTAAAAGGAAAATATACAAGATACATCTATGTAAGGCCTTACCTGCTTGCAAAAAAAACTGGTGCCACTTCAATTAGGCCCTGTCACCTCAGTGCATAGTTTTTACTTCTTCATAGTCAACGTATGGCTTCTTGGCTTATTTTATGGATGAGGCAAAATGGTTCCCAGTTTGAAAGAAGCATCTCTCAAATACAGTGGTACCTCAACTTAAGGTACCTCAACTTAATTTGTTCTGGAGGTCCGTTTATAACCTGAAACTGTTCTTAACCTGAAGCACCACTTTAGCTAATGGGGCCTCCCGCTGCCGCCGCACAATTTCTGTTCTCATCCTGAAGCAAAGTTCTTAACCTGAGGTACTATTTCTGGGTTAGCAGAGTCTGTAACGTGAAGCGTATGTAACCCGAGGTACCACTGTAATTTTTTTCTGCCCTCCTAGCAAAGTGGAGGGTGTCCCTCACTGATTCCACTGTCTTCTCTCTCTCTTACCATCAACTGCCTTTGCTAATACTCAGTGGCCATCTTCTCACAGCTGTATAGCATCGTGACACCATCCCATTTACTGCACAATCCCTGGCTGACTGGGAGCATTCATGTGAACTAAGAGCTATCCGCCATCAAAGTGGGCAAAGTGGTCTAATTATTATTATTATTATTATTATTATTATTATTATTATTATTATTATTATTTTATTTATACCCCTCCCTTCCTAGCCAAGACTGGGCTCAGGGCAGCTAACACCAAATATAAAAACAATTGATTGAAAACAAGATTAAAATACAACATTAAAACATTAAAATGCAGCCTCATTTCAATGGAAACTCAATCAAAAACTTTTGGGGGGATAAAAACGTCAAGTCTTCACCAAGGCTAACTATCCAGACTGGTCAAACAGTTTTGGGGAGGATTGTTGTTTCTTTGGTGCCACGGGAATCCTCAAACAATCAAAGCTGGAAAATACTTGCCGCAGCCCTAACCATAACAGGCATTGTTCCAAACAATGGCCAGAGCAGTGACATTATTTTCCCTCTCCTGAACAATCCTTTAGTTACCGTAAATTAAAAGGAGAGGGGGGAGAAAGGTGTTTATGGAGGAAGGAAAGAAGGAAATGTTGGGTTCTAATAACTCCTGCTGATATTCATCCAGGCTGATCTTTGCAATCAAGTTGGATTTAAATGGCAAAGCCGTCTCAAATATGCATAGTTTGGCGAGGGCTTAGGTAGCTTGCAATGCCTGCCTCCTCCCCGGGTGGAAACCAGAAGCAATTTCACTCCAACTGCTTTCTCAGATGAGCCGCGTGACAACAGTTAAGTCACCACTGGTGGCATCTCAGTGCTGGCCTGGCTATCCTTGGACAAGGGTTAGGGTTATATTGGATTCGTCTTCTGTTGAGTCATGGCGGTGCAACCACTAAGTCAAGACTTTGATGGGAGCTGGTGCTTGAATGTGAGGTTCCCCCGGTCTTGTGTCTCCCTTAGCTCTGATTTTGGAGGTTAAGTAACTGGCAGTGACAAGGATCAAAACTGGGGACTGATGTGCAAAGCATGGATCCCATCCACAATTAGATCCCCTGCACGATCGTGAGTTCAAGGACACATTCCAGCCAGGCAAAAACACCCATGGAGGGTGCAAAACAGAGCTGGTGAGGGCTGTAGTGAGAGGGGTTTTTGTTTAGAGAGAGTCCCAAGGAGCAGATAGTGAGGTCTGGAGGGCCAGATTTGGCCCCCATGAACCTGAGGTTCCCAACCCCCATTAGACCCAGATGTAAGCCCTGACACTGCCCTGAGCCCACCAGCAATGGGAACCATGAATGGGGATTCCCAGAGACTGCCTAAGCCTGAAGGTCCCAATGAATCTGCTGCCTCTCTTTCTGGGGCCTCATCCTCACCATCCCTGCAGGAAGGACAGAATCAATGGAGGAAAGAAGTTTTCAGCTCCTAGCTAGGACACTGCCCCTAGAAGCTTCCCTCTCCCCCCACCCCCAGATATGGAACCTGAGAGTAGTAGTCTGGGCTGTGTCCCCTGTGCTAACCCTGGTCTTTGACACCTGAGATCTATGCTGCACACACCACCCCAATCTCTGAGCAGTGAGATTCCAAGCGCTATTTGTTGTAATATACAGTTACTGACTCACACTCGCATGCATGAAAGGGTTAACCTGAGCCCTGAGCTCAAGTTACCAGTGGGTTGGGCTCAGCAGACTCCCAGAAGCCTTTGTGTCCTGTCTTTCTCTGTGTGCCCTTTCTGGAACAAGCAGCAGCCAAGCATGGCTCCCAGCTGCAACAAAAACTACACAAATGAAAATTTTCTCTAAAAGGAGATATTTTTTTTACTACCCGAAGACTGCACAATACCTGCAGACTGACCACTACTCAAACGCATAAAACTTTGCACCCCACAAATTCATAACAATGCCTTTCTATTGACTGCAATCTGCTTTGACTGTTTTTGATATTGTGTTTCATATCGTCATATTATGATGAATGGCATAACAACAACAACAACAACAACAACAACAATAATAATAGTAGTAGTAATAAAAGGTCTCTTTTGGACTAGGGGATGAGTCCATTTTTCATCCTTACACATTCATTCATAATTTCTGTCCCATCCCGGTTCTACATTAATCTGCATTTATTTATTTTTAAACATGCCTGAAAACTCACATTCCAGTATGCATTTGCCCCCTCTTAGAATATTAAATTCAAAAACCATTTTCTCTCAAAATGGTTTTTTAAATTTTAAAAAAATGCACAAACACACATTCTTATTCTTATTCTTACTTTCTTTTTTTAAAGCCAAGTATTTCTTTTTGGAAGGGGGGCAGGAAATTGCCACATGCTGAGTCCCATGGTGCAGGTTATGGTGACCTGTATTGGAAATCAGAAAGATCAGATTTCAAAGTCATTTAATTCTCCCTGTCAGGTTCACCATAAATGAGGATAAAAAGGACCTTAGGACACACACACACACACAGAGAGAGAGAGAGAGAGAGAAATGGGATCAAAGGAGAGAGAAAGGTTACTAGAATTATTTTACTCAAAATGACTTTGTGATTACGTACTATATTATTTTGTTACTGAATATGCATGGCTAAATTATATTATCAGGTACAATATATGCATTAAGGTTGATTGCTGTGTTATGTACAACTGCTATAAGATATGATAGCAGACATGATAATCATGGTATATTGTTAATTCATTAAATAAATAATCTTTAAAGAAGATCAAAATTCTTCAGTTGACCCTCATTTGGACTTCAGGCTTTGTGAGGGGGACATTATTCATTTGGAGCTGTCGAAGGTACTGAAATCTCAACCTGCTGTGCTTCCTAACCCTGTTCAGTCCTGTAGGTTTCTAGTTGAGGGCAAGGCAGCAGCAAAGCTTGAAGGAACCACACTCACCCTCTCATAAGACGATGAGGAGGACTGTCCTGGATCAGGTCTAGGGATCATCTACTCCAGCGTCCTGCTCTCACAGGGCCAACCAGAT